GTATGTCAAAAGCATAAATATCAGGATGTTAAAATAAATACAATATCATTAATCACTATCTCTTTCTAATGAATCAAAGCAACGGATTAGAGGAACTATGAGCACAAAATCCTGAACATCTTCTTTGAAAGACTTTCATTTTATTATTTAATTTATTTTCATTGATAATTTTTTGGTATATATTTTTTATTTTTTATTGTTAATTATTTAATTGAGTTTAGTTTTTTAACAGTATGTAGATTTGAATTCTAAATATCAAACCTAATTTGAGTTCTTTATTGTTATAGATTATGTTTAAGTTTAGATTGTAATAAATAATATTTTATTAAAATTTTAGTAGTTTTATTTAAGTTGAGATTAAAAGTAAATAGTAGTTTATTAAATTTTAATTTTTAAAAAAATTAAAACAAAATATTATTTAATAAGTACATAAATATACCCCACAAGTTACCTGATACATGTTGTGTCAAGTACCAAGTAAAAGTCATCAAGTATTTTAGTAAGTATCAAGTCGAAAAAGTTGTACTTAGAAAATTTTCAAATCAAGTATCAAAATATACCTCATATCCAATCTGTATCTGAAAATGCTAACCCCTAGCAAAACATGCTTAACCCAAACCCACTATTGCACTATTATATTATTTGCGTGCTCATAATACATTGTGTGACAATAATTACACTTGAAGAACTAGAACATCTTAGAATTGAACCACTTGACCATCAAAGCAGTTGAAAAACCATAATGTCTTTGTTTTTGTAAAAGGGTTTTTCTATTAGGCTACAAGTTAAAAATACAAGGGTTAAAGCCGACTATCGTCCCTCTACTTTGTGAAAAAGTTCAATTTAACCCTTCTACTACGTAATCACCTCAAGTCGTCCCTCTACTTCATTTTGAACTCACATGTCCTCCCTCTACTATTCAAAAGGTATTCAATTGCGTCCCTCCATCCATTCCTTGTTAGCACTGTCACATTTTACCGTTAAAGCGTAACGGTTTGGCATGTAATATATATTTTTATATTATTCTTTTCTCCAATTTAGCTACAATAGGGCCCACCAATGCCACATCATACTTCATATTAATATCTTTCTACATAAATATTTTACCAACCTTTTTTTTCCGATTATTGGCCACGTTTATTTCTCTCCTTTTATTAACTTTTTTGTTAAGTTAATTAAAGAGATATTTTTCAAAACTATGTAGGTAATCAAGTAAATTTAATTTTTTTTAAAGGAAATAGATTAAAAATTTTGAATTTTATTAAGGTTCAAAAAAATTATAATTAGAAAAAAAAATCATAATGCCTACTAATATTCTTTAACTATAAGTTTTGGGTGATATAAGGTGAACTCGTAATTTGTGAATTTATTTATATGCATAAATAAGTTAAATAAGTACATAGGTGAAGCATTTGTCTATATTTATATTTAAATTGAAAATTAATAAATATAAAATTTTAATACTTACTATTTATTTAAGTATTAAAAGTCTATTTTTATTATTCAACTTATTAAGTGCATGTATACTTACAGTTATACTCATATATTTATTAAATATTATAACCTTTTAATACAAATTAAAATATAATTAAACATACTACAAAACATATACTTTAGTTCATATATAATATACAAACATAAATTTCTTTAAATGTACTAGTTCAATGTGAGAGGTATGCCTTTAAAATATATAGTCTTTAAAAAATATACTTTTTTTCTTAAATTATTAAAAAATATTGTTTTAAGACAAATTCAAAAAATATTTGTATCCTAAAATAAATAAATAAAAATTGACATATATAAAATAAAGCATTACATCATTAATTAATACCTTTTACCACCTTTTGTGTTTATATTCTAACTTAATTATGTACTTTATTATAAATATAAAGTCATATATTTTTCAATATACATATTATTTTTTTATATTTATAATTAAGATATTTTCAAATCAACTCTCTTACATCTCAAGACTAATCTTTATTTAGGTAATTTTAAAAGTACACTTCTCACATCAAATTAGCGCATTCAAGGAAGTTTATATTTGTATATTATATATGAACTAAAGTATATGTTTTGCAATAGGTTTAATTATATTTTAATTTGTATTAACAAGTTAAAATATTCAATAAATATATAAGTATATCTGTAAGTATACTTATATTTAATGGGTTGAACAATAAAAACAAACGTTTAATACCTAAATAAATATTGAGTATTAAAATTGTATATCTATTAATTTTTAAATTAAATAAAAATATAGACAAATATTTAACTTTTGTACTTGCTTAACCTACTTATTTACATGAATAAAATCACAAATTGTGAACTTACTTTAGACCACCCAAAGTTTACAATTAAAGGAATAATAATAGGCATT